TCTGTTCGATGTGTCTCGAGAGGTGTTGGATATGGGGTGGATTTGGGGCGGGCTCCATGGGCGGAGCATCTGGAGAGCTTGAATAGGCCTGTGAAGCGAGGGTTCGAAGCAAGATCTTGGTGTGTCTCGAGATGTTCACGAATCCTTGGGATGATTGCCCAGACAGGGCCCTTGTCGTTGATGTGCAGTGCCTGCACCAGCCCGACGACGTCCTCTCTGGTTCTGTAGGCACTCAGTGGCTGGTCGAAAACTGTAACGGAGTACTCCGTAGCTTAGCCGTAGAGTAAACTTAGAATGGTCGCGGCTCCGCCGCGACTGAGAAATCACAATGTTGACGCGCCCGTTGGGCGCCATATGGTCAAACCTTGCGTGCTTACCTCTACTCCCCGGGCGCCTGATATCTGAGATATGATTATCTCTGATATCTATGGCGTCTCGACTATAAAGACTCGATTGCACGCCTGTATCTACATTCATTCTTGCTATACTACCGGATCCTGCTCTGTTGCCTGCGAGGCGCGTCGTGACACCGCCACCGCCCGCCTCGCCCCCCTTACGCCTAACTTACAAAAACCCTCGATGACGCAGCCTGTACAATACGAGCCTCACGCTCGGCGGCTTCAACAGCTTTTGCATGCTCCTTCTCGCGTGCCTTCCTCTCCTTCTCGGCAGCAACACGTTCTTCCTCCTCAAAATGAGCCTTAAGCTCTTGGGCAACAACAATCCGGCCCTTGCTTTCATACAGATCATCTGTTTTGCTTTGATGCTGTCGTCCAAGTTGGGTACCGTTCGCTTTGCTACACCGTTGGTTACGGTCTGCACCCATCGACAGAGCAATAATAACACGGGAACGATCAAAGACGTGTCTACCTTTGCATTTGTGCCCAACGCGTCGCGACGCTCGCGACGCGTTGAGTATTAAAACTCCGCCCGGCTGTCATCCGGCATTGTCGGCACCTCATCACGCAGCGTTACTTGGACAGTGTCGTCCACCACACTCTCGAGCAATGTAACTCAGGATATTATTCCTGGGATGTCACTGAGAGTACACTACATGAACACAGTCAGAGTATGGGGCCAAAAAACGCAGCGGAGCACGACATATAGCAGGGTGGCCGATTCGACGATGTGGCCGAAGTGATGATCTCATATAGTATAGGTAGAATGCACCTCACAATTTTTATCTCCAGATAGACCCAATCAATGCGCCAAGCCGAGAACCAGTCGTCATCCTCTTCCATACAATCCGGGCACGGATGACGGCTTTCAAAATGGCAGGCGCACGAGAAAACGCGTCAAGCAGTGAGTCTTCGAGGCGAGTCCGAGTTCGACAGTGGAGATCGTATCCATCGAAGCTTCAATTTTTGCGCATCCGCTTCTTCCATTTGTCAAGCTTGCTGCCTCTGATAGCGGAGAGCCAATTGTTCGGGAAGACAAAACCCAGTTGCCCTGAGATCGTAGAATGGAGATACCGCACACTGCTGCATTATGTTAGTGCTAGTAATGTACACATGCTCCTGCTGCAGGCTCAGAACTACAATGTCTCGAGCTGTCTGCCGCCACGGTCAGTGCGGGTGGTCGTCGGCCATTAATCTTCGTTGGATAACAAGCTGATTAACGGGTATGGATACCAGATGACGGTAAGGTTTGTCTTCGATTCTCGATGATAAGAACACGTTGCAAAGCATTCTCTGTATATCTCGCACACAGTGCAATCCGCATCCCTTCTAGGTAAACCTTGTACCTGCATTACCTGAGCCCCTGAGCTAGGGATGTAGAACACGAGGCCGTTTTTTCCCGTATGTATAGGTATGTATAGAAGGATCGTGTCAAACGAGGATTCGTACCATCCCCCGAGACCTCTCCACATCATGTCCGACGTGACTGACGCCGGTCCTCCCTTCAACAAAGCCACGGCGGACCTGATCATTCGTTCCACAGACAAGGTCGACTTCCGGGTACACCAATGTCTGCTCGCGGAAGTTTAGCTCTTCTTCTAGTCGATGTTTTCTTGCCTCAAGCGCCATCTTCCGCGTCCGAAGAGAGGGACGACCAGTCTTCAACAAAAAAGAAGGAGCTTAGGGACGGACTCCCGATCATCCCCATGAGCGAGAACGCAAAGACCGTAGAACTCTTGCTCCGGCTCTGTTATCCGCACAGAACCCCCGCGCCGGACAATCTGACGGAGGTGATGGACGTCCTGTCAGCGGCGATCAAGTATGAGATGGATATCGTCAATGGCCCGCTGAAGGACATGCTCCTGGAGAATGCCCGACGAGCCCCAGTTCGGGTCTACGGCTTCGCTGTACGCCACGATTTGGAGGCCGTGGCGCGCCACTCAGCGAGGGCGTCACTCCGATACCCACTGCTCAAGGTCGTCACCGAGGATGTGCCTGAGCTCTGCGCTATTCCATCTCACCACTATCAACTCCTCATGCAGTACGGTTTAGAGTGCCGTCAGCAGTTCTCCGCGATTTCTTCGGACCTGGGATGGGTTCCCATGGGCACACCCTCTGAACGGTCAGATGTCGATTCCCCAACCATTCATTGGGACGCTGCAAGAAGCCCGCCTTGGATCGGCTGTTTTGTCTGCAAGGAGCACAATCATTCCATGACATATGGTCCGCAACATATTCCCGTTACGGTGATGCAATGGTGGATGGATTTTATGGAGAGGGCGCAGAGGGTACTGTCAGAGACACCTTGCGGAGAGGCAATCCGCGCGCCGGATTTGCTAGAACCGTGCTTTATTCAGCGCAACTGTCAGACGTGCTGCTCGTACCAAGGAATTCAGGCCATGAAGGCGTTCGTGAATTGGCTGGCGTCTGACGTGGACCAAATAATCACGAGGAAAGACTCATATTGGAGCTATATTGTACCGCTGCTCACCAGGCCTCCCGTGGTAGAGATTGTCCAGAATGAAGTTCTGCTGAATTAAAGATGCTGAAGCATATTCTCCATGGTTGACTATTGAGATTATGCAGCGTAAACTCGTGAGGATGTACGATCAGTTTCCCGCATTATCCGAGAACTTGTCGAAGTTGGTAGAGAGCATTCTTCGCGTAGTACAGTAACGTTTGGGTCATATCAATAGTTGTTGAACGTTGAAGGTTAAGTCGAAGCGAGCTGCCGCCTCGAGGCCGCGCCTCGCCGGCGCCGCGAGGCGCGGGCTTGGGCTTGCTCGTCCACCTAGGTTTGTCTTCCCCCTCGCAAGCGCTTGGTCAATCCTGTCGGTTCCTTAGTGCTGGTGGCTACAGAAACAACAACATGTTGTACTTCCCGAAACATATTCCGACAATAGACCTAAACCTCCTAGCCAGAAACCTCCTCCCGAAAAGGGAAAGGTACTCACAACTGCTCATGAGGTCTTGTTCTGTTTTCACCACTCCCACTTTCGTGGCACAAGCGTCGGACTTCGGGCTCTGGCCCTCAGTTAATGCTCCTGTTGAAGTGACACCCCATTACATGAGGAAGAAGAGCCTCCCGGTTGGTAGTCGAAGCCATGTCGCGGGCCGTTAGCTTAGATCGTTGACATTGGATGAGGCAAGCGATCGCTCGAGGCGTTTCATTGATAGCTGCCCGAAGGTTCGTAGTCTTTCTCCGGCTGCGTCTGTCTGGGCCCGTGTGTTAATATCGGAACTTGGACCAGAGAACCTCCTGTTTTTGGTCAATCGTCGACCACGACACAAGGCCGGCGAGATAATATTCGGCGGGCGAACAACGACCCTGAGCAGGACACCCTCGTACTCCTCCGGATCTCCCTCTTGCTGAACAGTGACTTGTACGACGGCCGTACATGAATTCGCTTGCTGGCAAGGACGCATCATGCCACGCAGTTAGCGTTCCACGGTCGCTGAAGGTTCGACGTGCACCTTGCACTCAGCGGGAAATGCGCAGATAAGTGCCTTCATAAGGGGCCTCCTCGGTTTTCCAAAGGCTATCCGCGTTGGTGGCGTCGTACTTCCTCACCAGGTACTCTGTCTCTTATAAAGACGGGGCTGCATGGAAGGTCCACAGTGGTTCGTCCTTTGACCTCTACCTCCGTCGAAGTCGGGCCCAAGGTTGCCTAAGGTATTGCCCATGTGCGCTCTCATCGAGGGGCGGGGGCGTTGCCTGATTTGAGTCGGCGGCGGTATCGTCTTCGATGACAATGAACTGGATTACACCTGTGTAATCGTTAAACGCTCCTGATGTGCGGACATCACCGCTGCCCTCCAGTTGGCGCCCCCCGAAGATTTCGCTGAAACTTAAACTGCAACAAATCTCGTAACCGCGCCGTTCCCGAAGAATCATCCGCGCTCTCTCACCCACACCGACATGTTCCAACCCGCATACGTGGGGCGATTTACATCCAACGACAACGAGGGTGCAGCTTTCGACGGAGCTTCGGATAGCGACGAACCGTTTCACACTCCACTGAACATACCACAATGGGATCGTAACGTCGCGTTCCCATTTGGCTACAGGCTTCCTCCCAGCAATTTCACGCTGGGATATGGGTATGGTTCCTCTGAACCAAAGCGAGCGCTCATGAGAGCGAGATTCGACACGGACGAAGCAGCGCCAGTGGTGGAAGGTTGGGAGCGCAACGCAGGCTCTACCCCGCGGTCTGTCGTCGAGCTTACCGCCCCAGTTGCCACTGACAGACTGCGACAGCACCTATGTTCCGCCCAGCCGTGCCAGACACGAGCACTGTCCCAGTGAACTTCCGTTCACAGAAGCGTACCCCCTGGAGCAGCTTGGAACCTTTTCGCAGTTTGGCTACAGCCATGCCCGGGGAAGGGCTGTAGGAGAAGTTACTAGCTCTGGCGTTCCGGCCCACGAATTGGCAGTGCCGTTCCTCAATAGCAATCCGTCACCGCTCAACCAGTACCCCGGCTCATCGAGTGAAGTTGGTGAGAGGTGAGGTGTCTTCGCTATACCATGAGTGGCAAGCTTCGCTAACCTCGGTACGTCCTGCTTAGCGCGTGGGATGGTTATTCACCCTCATACATTTCTGTCGCTCAACCGCACCAAGCCAGCGATTATGGATCTAGGATTGGTACATACAGCATCGCCGATACCCCGGTGAATGGCATGAATGGGTTTGCTGACTACCCATGGCGTCTCATCTCGCTTTCTCCTCCCGAAACAACGTCGGATTATGCTGCGGATATCGTGACCTTGACTGAAATGGACCAGCCGCAGGCTGTTGACCAAGCTGCTGCTGCTGATACGGGTCTCTTATCGTATGCCATTTCCTGGAAACCTTGTTGATCTTGCTCATCGCCCGATGACAGATCACGCCACCTCGACGAACAGCCCGTGCAGCTGGACAACGGGAAATACGGCTGCCCAACTCGTTCCTGTCAGCGGCAGTACAAGAATAAACGAGACTGTTCGAGGCATTTTCAAGACAAGCACGCTGGTCGACCTCGCCTCCAATGCGATTACTGCTTCAAATCCTTTCTACCCACTCGGACAGATCAACTCAAAAAACATGGTATGCTCATGCTGCATCCAGCTTGGACACCCAATGACGTAAAATTTATGTCTCCTCAGTCGAAGAATTACATCCCGGGCTTTCCCACTAAAACCATAGCGGATGGCGGTAGAGAAAGGAAGGCGTAGCGTGAGGAATCTGCATCGTGATAATATGGCGCTCAAGTACGCGAGTCCAGAGCTCGTTCTCAACGAATGCTTGGGTGACGGGCCAAACACCTCATCGATGGAAAGTGATGCTGTGAAAGTACATAATCTTATTCCGTTTCCTTTCCTACGTACTCCGTTAATCGCGAGGCTGTCACTTGTTATGTATCCCTTGATTATGATCAGCATTGATCTGGCACTATCGATTCAGCAGGGTTCAGTACTAGAGCGGTACATCGCGGAGGGCCCGTGGCATCATCCTCTCATGCATGGACTACCTCCGGACAGCTAGGAGTCATCGGGGCTTCTAGATGCTTTTTCCTCTATCCACTCACGAACATCCTCTGGCCATTCCAACTCCACCACACCCCTCTGCTCTTCATTTCTCCTCCGTATCGCATCCCGAATATTGACAAGGAGGTCGGAATAGCACCAGTCATCCTCTTCCCATCCTCTCAGGGATATCTTTCGCAACCGAGTCATTCTTTCCCAATTCGGAGACCGTATCCAGCGCGAGAGGTCCTTGAGTCTCCAGGGCGGATCTATCGATAAATCACGAACGCCGCGCGGCAGCGCGCTCTCAAGCAGCTCCGTTTGGCGTTCGTCGTCCATTTCGTGCCCGTCGAAGTCTAGGGATGATAAGATTGGGCAGCACTTGAGCACATCACAGAGGTCGCCTTTATACCGCTTGATCGACAGGTGTTTCACTGACAGATCGGTTACTCGGCATCAGTGAGAATAAATGTAGCAATTACCACCGCGACGTACGTTGCGGTCCGATTACACTAAAGGCATGCATCACCACGTCTTGCGGAACCCCGGTGACCGAAGTCATCCCCAGTGTATGTAGAGTCCTTTGGGAGCTCAGGACAAGTCTTGCAAAAGGATGCTAAGGCGCATGCGTATTAGCTGGGTTATTTGAGCATGTATATGGGGAAGGTAACTTGCGAAATCGAGCGGCCACTTCTGCATATCATCTGACCATTGTTCCATTGTAACTCGCCCTTCGCGCTCCGCGTTCTTCTTCCAGTTCTCCCGCAATAACCGACGAGTGTCTTCGTCTACTTGAAGAGTGAATGGTGCCGGTTCAAATGACACATTCGTCAAGTACAGTGTTTTCAATCCCCTCGGCAACCATGACGAGCTCGGAGAGTCCTTCAGGATGAGCTGTGGTTCAAACCAGATGTACCTCGAGACGGGCCCGATAGCCTCTCGTTCTGAATCCGTGGGACACTTCCCGAAGCCCAGATCCTCAGGCATGATCCAGGGATTCTCACCTACCTTCAGGTTGGCGAGTACGAGTTCCGACAGGCGCGTCATATTCGCCACCGCCCGCGGGAATGTTAGGGCGCCGGCGAACCGATGCAGATCTTCACCGCCATTGCAGGCAAAGAACTCGATTTCAGGAAGCCTTCTCAACATGCGCACGCACTTTCAAGAGTGGTTAGTCACGCAAAAGAGTAGATGAACGGAGAATTGCGTCGTACCTTGAACAAGGTATGCTTATCTACAAAATCAAGGATCGCTAGCCACTTCAGGCGTGGCATCATTTGCAGCAAGAATCGGATGTCGAGCGGGCCGACCCCGATAGGCCCATTGCCATCCGGCCGCACCATCAGCCGCTTGACAGCATTGCGGAGGTATGCCCTATCGGTAGAGTAGGGGACGATATCGGCCGTAAGTTGGACGTTCGGGATCGAGAGCTGGTAGGATAGTTCAATCGTCACAATTTCGCATCTCGCCTCGGCGATGAAGGGGAAACGCACCAGTTTGCGTGCCCTCTCATCCACATCGGTTGGAGGCGGAGCGAAGACGTAGCAATGTGAGCCATTGAGCGTCCAGTACAAGTTTTCCTGGTGCACAGTTCAAAACAGCGATGATAGATACATCCGCATGAATACTCACCACTTGCTCTTGGTCCCGCACGGTTATCTTTCTGAAAACCAGGGGTTGGAACACAAGCTTGAAGAGCTTACATGTCTCGCTCATTGCACGTATATCCTTCACCTCGGCTTTGTCTTCCGCTTCGAAGGGATCCTTGTTCATCAGCTGTGATGATATCTCATCGAGTACCTCGAAGGGAAGCGTCGTAATGTTTGCAGATGGTCTGAACGCCGTTGATGCGCCTGTCTCATCCCCTATGGATAGCGCTTCAGGTCCAGGCTGCATTCCGTTAAGCAGCTGGGGCATGTAGATTTCGTCGCCGCGGTTTAGTGTACTCTGAGACGAGCTATATCCTGCAAGTATGCGCTGCAGAAAATGTGGCGTTTCCGAAGTGTGGCGTCCCGGATGCTTTGTCTTCACGGTCCGATATCGAGCGTTGGGCGCGGTGTTTGAGTACTTGAGAACTCCTTCGCAGTCAGGGACACAGCGCCACACAGCGACGCGGCGAGTGTTCGTGAGCGTGAGCGTCAAGTACGGACTGTAGGGTGGTGGCCGCGAGACGCGTGTTTTGACGCGTCGTCCACGTGCACGTGCACGTGCACGTGCATGGAGCACTTGTCCGAGTGAACCGAGCTCTGTCTTCGACGGCGACAGGCTTGAAAAACGTGCTCGTATTACGACGACACTACAGTTACAGCAAATATGTCCAGACCTGGTAGATTTACTTACGATTCTACTGGAGCATCCGTGTTCATAGCGCCTTCATGAAACCCTTGAAGTAGAGGCTCAAACGCTCGACCTCGTCCAGCGCAGAGACGAATCCAACGTAGCCGTCCGGACGCACGACGACGATAGCTCCGGACGACGTGATTCCGTACGTTTCGTAACCGTTTCCGCCAATCTTTCCCGTAAGATCGGTGTCGTCGAGGAGCACCCTGTCTTTTGCGTCAGCGGCCTGTACGGGATGGGGGGTAGAACGGAAGCCAGCCGACGCACTTGGACCAATGCGATCTCAGCATCGGCGGGACCTGGGTATACTCCACCTCCTCCTTCTTTCCCTGCACGATGGAGAGGATGTCGAAAACGTCTTGCACGCTCTTGTCGCGGGGGGTCAGCTCGCTCAGAGCGGGCTCTAGCCTTTCCGCGAGCGTCCGGGCCGGCCCGAGGTCGTGGCCGGTGAAGACGAGAATCTTGAAGCGCACGTCAGCGGGCAAGAGATCCTGGAGCTCGTACGGGCGCGCGTCGGCGGCGCGCACGAACTGCTGCGGGAGCACGCGCTCGCCGATCGTGAGGTTGCGGGCGAGCTCCTGGCGCGCGTTGTCGACGATGGCGGAGGGCTCGTAGTGCACTCTGATGCCGCTGGAAAAGCCGCTGAACGTCTGGAAAGCGCTGCGAAAACACGCTTCTGTTGGCGGACAGCTAAGAAACCCGAGAGGAGTGCGGCTTACGTGTGGAACTCGGCGTGCGAGACACCGGTTGCCCGCTGCTCGGACTGCGGTTTCTCGGAGAACAATTTGGAGAACTTCTTATCAAACGCGATGAGATCCTGGGCGTACTTCCTTCTCTCGAACTCATACTGAGATGACGACAGTTAGCGCGAGATACCCCGAACATCACGCGGTGACATACGGTCTTGAGCAGAGAAATATCGGCCCAACCACGGAGGACCTGGACGATCTTCCACCCTGAGAGCAAGTACGGGTGAGGTCGCGCCCAGCACCCGGAAAAGGCGCAACTTACCCAGATTATGGGTGTCGTTCATGGATGCATTCATGCCTTGACCTGCTTTCGGCGAGTGCGTGTGGCACGCGTCGCCGGCGATGAACACGCGGTCCGCAACCGAGAATTTGGAGGCAACACGTTGTCCGACTGCGAACGGACATCAGCGAAAGGCGATCCCGATATGATCGGAGAAGACTTACTCTGGTAAAGGGTCCACCAGTCGACAGGCGATTGCGTGGATATCCTATACGGGTAGAAAGACTTCTTCGCGACCTGGAGGACGTGAACGCATGAAGGGCCCGCACTATTTCTCAACATACCTCCAAGAGGCGCTCGGGCCCGAAGCCGTCCTTCTTCAACCTGCCGGTAGAGGGGTCGATGACGTCCTTGTTATCGAGCTGAATGTACAGGCGGACGACATCACCCTCGCGGGGAATGATCATGCATGAGCCATTCTCTGAGTGGATAGCGGTCTTGTTTCGAATGTCCGGGAAATCGGTGTCGGGAGTGATGTCGACTACACCCCAGACATAGTCTACGCCGCAGTGTGAGCACCTGTCGGGAACTCGCACTAGGAAAATTTTTGATACCCGATTGTTCTCCTTCCATCGCGATGCCCAGTGATTTGCGGACCCACGAGTGCGCGCCTGGGTCTAAAATGGGTATCGGTCGACCCGTGAGGGGTTGAGGGCTCACCGTCGGCGCCGACAACGAACTTGGCGTGGATTACCTCCGTTTCATGTCCCGGCGACGCGTCAAGGTGTGTCACGACGACCTGATAGCGTCATTAACAGGAGAGCTTCGGCTGGCCTGCTAATAGCGTACCTTGACGGGATACGCGTGAGGATTCTTGAGTGCGGATTCTTCTCCAGATACCTCGATGGATGTCGGTACGGTTGGTCGGTCCACCCTTAGACCGTGACCTTCCATCGAGTCCAAGAACAGTCTTTCTATGTGACCCTGATGCAATGTCGCCTCAAAGGGAAAGCGCGCGGTTGGTACGCTAACGTCCGGCGAGCGGCTAGTGCGCTGACAACAGTTCAGGCGCTCAGATTCGAGCGAGATGACGGAAGGAACTACCTCGATCCCTCCGTTCGGACCCGGATTGTAGAACGCCTATGAAAAGATCAGGATTCATTTGCGTGATAATCAAAGCACTGTCGTACAGCCAGATGCAATTGGTTGGCTTGCTTGAGGAACTTGTCCAAGAGGCCGTAACTCTACGATGCCTGAGATCGCGTTCGAATACAATCCGAGTCAACATTGGAGTACCTGTAGAACCTCCATCGTTCGAGGTTGAATGCCATCGGCCTGCCCAGCAGCAACCTTGCCAGGTCTATGAAAGCGTATCGGGATCGACGAAGTTTGGAACCGAAGGTGCGATATACTGACCGCTGGTCGATGATGCGGACATTTACGCCCGCACTGGCGAGACCGTTGGCGCACATGAGACCAGCAGGACCGGCACCGATGATCAGAACGTCGACTTCGCTCTCTCTGATCGTGGAAGTGGGCATGGCTGGCTATCGACAGAGGGGAGAACGGATGACGGTGTGCTCGATTGGTCGGGCCGCTTTTATGTGATCGCGGCTAGTGAGCTCGGGCTGTGGTGGAAGACTTCCTTTCCGGGGCAGAATGGGCAGGGCTGACGACGACGACATGTCCGGTGATCCAGCACGGTCGGTGGAGTCGCGTGCTGTCCCTCTATCTCCGGCTATCTGGGTCGTCGCCCCCTGGGTGAGCGTGAATCCTGGACTGCCCGTTCGAGTTAGTCGTCGCTGGTTCTTGCGAAGGCCGGCCCAGCGACGTTTAGATTCGACGAGCACCGACGGATCAGCCTTTGCGCTGCCATTCCCTTTTTTGGCAACCAGACTCTCTCGTGCTCCCATGCGAACCCAGCTGAGGCTGACTTGTCCTCAATCTCGGCCCAATCGTTCCTCGCGGCCAATTCAATATCACTTCGCTGAACCGCGAGCATGCGACTGGGATGACAAAACACTGGCCCATGTTCTTGCACGGTCTGGATCTGTCGCAGCCGACCCAACGCGCCCCCTGCTCTCGAGCTATAGCATGGCATACCGGTCCCTTTCTGCTTTACCAAGCTACGCTCGGAGGGCGACTTGGGGGCCTTTGGACCAAACCTCAAGCATGATTATGACACCCACGTCAAGCGTCATCGATCCTGATGCGTGAGGATTATCCCGACTGGAGTCAAATCGTTTCCGGATCTTCCTCCGGATTGTGTACCGTCGACACACAAGGTCAGTCACGCGACCTGCTGAATCAATGACCCGCTGACGGCGCTTCTCTGCGTGTAGAGAGTACCTATGGAAGCACGCACGGGGCACACTTATAAGGAAAGAATGACCTGCTCGTGTCATTGTACCCAGGTATGGCATACAATTCTACTCCAACATGGCCGACTAGCTCAGTTGGTTAGAGCGTGGTGCTAATACACTCACTTTCAATTGTGTGGCGCAATTCACCCAATTGAAAATGAGGGTTACGCCAAGGTCGTCGGTTCGACCCCGGCGTTGGCCAATAATTTTATCATGCAAGAACTTAGCTCTGTCAACACATATCCTGTCTCATTTGACTATCGGACGTGGCTCTTCGCCCGACATTCTGCTTCGTCGGCCGACTACCCGATATGCATTCACTCTTCGTTGTGGACACAAAACTAAACTTCAAGGCGAGCGGATGGGAACGTCGTCGCCCGACGTAATTCACCTGCTTTATCGGCACCGCCACGGACAGTACCCCTATTGCACCCCATCATCCCTGCCGTCGGCGAAAGCCAGGCCTCATGCCATGGGTCTCATACTGGTCGCCCGAGGGTCCCGACACGCCAAGCTCTCCAACCACAATGTCCGCGCTCTACACTGACGCGGACACGGCCGCGCTGCAGGCCGTCGCGTCGACAAAACTGCTCTCGTACGGCGCCCCGTTCCTGCCGTTCGTCGTCACGCACGCCCAGGGCGTGTTCGTGTACACGGCCGCGGGGCAGCGCATCCTCGACTGGACCTCCGGCCAGATGTCGTGCCTTCTCGGGCACGGGCACCCCGAGATCGTGGAGACGATCCGCGCGCACGCGCAGAACCTCGACCACCTGTTCAGCGGCATGCTCAGCCCGCCTGTCGTCGGGCTCGCGGAGAGACTGACGAGCGTGTTGCCGGACGGCTTGGATCGCGCGATGTTTTTGAGTACGGGGAGCGAGAGCAACGAGGCGGCGATCAAGCTCGCGAAGGTGTTCACGGGCAAGTGGGAGATCGTGGGTCTTGCTTCCAGTTGGCATGGCATGACTGGCGCGTCGTTGGGCGCGCAGTACCATTCGGGCAGGAAGGGCCATGGTCCCGGTGTCAGTCCAATCTTCGCCTTTTACGCGTGTATTTTATAACTCATGGCTCGTCGCCACAGATGCCTGGAAACTTGGTACTCCCCACTCCCGATGCGTATCGCTCGCCCTTCAGGAGACCCAACGGGTCGTACGACTGGGAAACCGAACTCAACTACGGCTTCGACATGGTCGACCGTGCCTCGGCCGGTTCCCTCGCGGCGGTCATCCTCGAACCGATTCTTTCTTCTGGTGGAATGGTCACCTTGCCCCCTGGGTACTTGCGCGCGCTCAAGACGCACTGTGAGCGCCGGGGCATGCTGCTCATCCTGGACGAGGCGCAGACCGGCATCGGCCGATGCGGCGACATGTTCGCGTTCGAACACGAGGGCGTTGTCCCTGATATCTTGACTCTCAGCAAGACGCTGGGCAACGGCCTTCCTTTGAGCGCGGTAGTGACGAGCCATGCTATTGGGGAGACGTGCCGACAGAGGGGATTCATGTTCTACACCACGCACGTCAACGATCCCTTGTAAGTTCTCGTACGTTACGGTAACCTGCGAGATGCCGTTCTCACCTACATACCGGACAGACCGGCCGCAGTGGGACTCAAGGTCCTCGACATCGTCATCCGCGACAACCTGGTCGAACGCGCGCGGGCCAAAGGCCACATCCTGCACGACGGCCTGCGGCACCTGCAGTCGCGCTACGCATGCATCGGCGACGTCCGCGGGCGCGGGCTCATGGCCGGCGTCGAGATCGTCGCGGACCCGGTCACGAAGGCGCCCGCGCCCGAGCTCGCGAACGCGCTCGCGAACCGCATGATGGAGCTCGGGCTGAGCGCGAATCTGGCGACGATGCCGAGCTTCGGGGGCGTGTTCAGGATCGCGCCGCCCATCACGATTACGCCGGAGGAGCTGGAGATGGGACTGGCGATCATGGAGGAGGCGTTCAAGACGACGGAGGGGACGAGGAGACGGATGATCTGAGAACAGCACCGGGTTGCTGGCGTATCGTCGAGACTGGGGTGGACTGTGATATTATATTGCTACAGATATTGTACGCTCTGTATCTATGTATTGTACTGCTCAGGATGACCCCGATAATCTCTCATCTGTTAATAGTCTGATCCGAGCGTACCCGTTGGCACGAGCTGCAACGCGCGGGAAACACGCTGGCAGGCGAGCACGTGACCGCGTTGAGGGTTCGCGATATTCCCGGCGCACACGTTCCGCAAACGTCAAGCGGTCGACTCTACGATGTCCCGACCGAAAGGCGTTCATTTTGTCGTGAACGACACGATATCCGACATACAGTCGTCTGTTGGTGACATTACCTCCGATTTTGCTCAGGGTTCGCAGGGGTCGCTGCAGTTCATCAACGCTCAGCTGCTCGCGCATGGCTTCATCTACGGAAGCCCGCTTTCTCTGGATGGACTTGGGAGGGAGGACGAGGCGAGAGTCGTCAAATGCTTGCTCGGCATGTTGAGCTGCAGGATTGTGAGTAGCTCCATGTGATAGCATATAGTCGGAGGAGTGGCTGAATGGTGGTATGTGTAGGAAGACATGGCTCGGACGGAGGAGCTCACTACCAAGCTCCGCACTCTCTCGTACGACTACGAACGCTTGACTTCGAAACACAAGGAAGTATCCGATAAAGCCGCCAATGCAGAGCGCGAAGTGAACGTGTTCAAGTCCCGGCTAGCGTCAGCGTCTTTCCCTCTGCAGTTCACCTGCATATATGCTCATATATTGTATTTAGAACAGCAAATCGGTCGCTGCAGCAATCCGAGTTGGCACACAAGCATGCTGACGCCGAACTCTCGCGCACACGCACCGCAATCCAGGCGCTTCGGTCCCAGCACCAGCTCGAGATTAAGAAAAAAGAACGCGAGTGTGAGCGCATGGTGGAGCGCTGGTCCAAGCTGTCCGACACACAACTGAAGATCGGGGTAGGAAACCATATCACTCTGCATTTTATTCTCCGCTCAAACCCGATACTTGCAGAGTCTCCCCGGAACCCTGAACGCCCCAAAGTGCGCAAATTCGCTCGTGGCCGATCCTGCGAAGATCCTGTGCTCGACCGACAGCCTCATGGAGAGCGCCCTGGGAGATGCGGAGGCCGCGCGAAGGGGCCTTGCTCGCGAGAACGAGCATCTTCGCGAGTTGACAATGCAAACTGCCAAGAACGTCCAGGAGATGATATATGCATGCCAGGCCAAGGCGGTGGACGAGGGCAGTTCTCACATGGACGTCGAGCAGGTGCTTCCCAATACATCTGGGTGACCTGGCAACTACTGATCCATCCCATTGTTCTGTTTTTGAAGATATCGCATATTTCGCAAACGGAGCTCTTCCCGTTGACGCCACCAACGCCGGATGCGGCGTCAGCCAAACTGACAGATCTGTTTGTCTCGTTACGGAACGCCATCTCCTCAATCAACTTGTTGGCCTCGTCTTCATCACCTGCGGCTGCGCAAGCAACATCAGAGCGCAAGCCAGCCCCCAACGCCGACCGATCAGAGGCTATCGTGGCGAAGCTGACCGCCGAGCTGGAAGTCACGCGCAAGCAGGCGCAGGAATATGCCGCGCAGACGCAGGCGCTCATCTCCCAGCTAGCCGAAGCGCAATCCGAATCCGACCTTGCCGGTCACCTCCCGCCAGAGCAGGCCGCGCACGAGATGTCGGTGGATTTGATAACGGCCCCAGTGGTGGACGAGGAGAAGATCATGCTGGAGGACAGGGTGAAGGAACTGGAGGAGGAGAGGAGGCGATTTACGGAGAAGGCGGTCAGGTTCGGGAAGGAGAGGGAGGCGCTCAGGCGGGAAAGAGAGGAGCTTGAAGAAGAAAAGAGGAGGTTGCGGGTGGAGAAGATGCTGGACGTTTTACCGCCCACGCCCGGACATAAGGGTGAGGGGGACAAAGACGGTGTGTCGGCGTTGAAGGTAGAGAAGAAAGCGAAGAAGACGGAGAAGCGGGAGCAGGATGTAGGAAAGAGGCCCCAGCGCACGGATCGGATGCCCCAGCCGGGGCCGTCGAGGGTCAAAGACATCGTCGAGGCAGGTCCTGGAGATCTTGCCGCTGTTCCCAAAAAGGAGAAACGCAAGCAAGGGCACGGGTCACCCGCGAAGAAGGTGCGCTCGCCCGTGCGCGTAGGCGCGGGGGGCAAGAAGTCTCGTCATGGCAGGCGGAGTTCTATGGGATTGCTAAACTTACTATCACCAACCAAAGGTACGATATCTCATCCGGTATAACTCGCAAAATCTGAGATCGCTGACCGATTTCCTACAGGCAAAATAGTTCCGCCGTTCGAGACGGAGGTTATACCGCCGCCGTCGTCTAAACCCGCAGGGCCGCTCGTGCCAGGCGCCTTCGTCCTCCCGCCAAAGAGTCCGCAATCGAGTTTGCCGCCAGGACCGTCCGGGATATTCTCAATAGCAGCTCCTTCAAACCCGGCACCGATGGACGTACAGCCGACAGCATCAAAACCGTTCATTGGTCTCGGGTTGCCCGCGTTCGAGTTACCGAAGATGTCTTCGATGATGACAATGCAGGCCGAAGCTGGCCCTCCTAACAATCCGATCGCGCCTGTGCCCTCTCAAGCTCCTCCTACGTTAGCTCCGCCCGCCCAAGCACAACCTCAAATCACCCCCTCGCGAAACCCCGGCGGCTTTCCTATGGCCAAGCCCTTCGCCCCGCACATGATACACGCATACTCGCCCGCAAAACCGAGTCCATTGAGTCGGATCTTGATGCTCGCGGATTCGCCAACCGATGCCATGGGCGGCGGTTTGGACGCGGTGATGGAAACCGATGAGAGCGCGGATGGCGGCGTCGTGGAGGAAAGTCCGACTCCCGCGCCGCCGATGGAGAGCGTGATCGAGGCGAGGCAGAAGGGCGCGGAGAAGGACGCCCGCGGCGGAGGGCTGAAGCAGGTGCAAATGCTGATGAACAAGGTGCTGGACGAGGAGAGCCCGCTGAGGGACAAGAAGACCGAGTGGAATCACGCGCCGTCCAAGGAGAGGGAGAAGGAAAGAGGGATCGATAAGGAAAAACCAGGCCGGAGGCTGACGGCGCAGGAGAAGGGCAAGGGCAAGGCTTCGGCTGCGTCATCGACGACCGGGACTGCGAAGACGTCCGCGCCTGCGACGAACAGCAAGGCCGGGTCCGCAGTCGTTGGTGAGAAGAGGCCAAGGGAGAAGGAGAACGGCGCGGCGAGTAAGAGGGCTAAAGCTGCGGCTCAGGCATCCGCTCAACCTACGCGGTCGAGCTCGAGGATGGCTAGTCGAGCGGGTGCTGCCATCGCCGCAGCGTCCAAGCCCAGTATCGCTGGACGACCGGGGGGCGCCAAGCGTGTGCCCGTCGCGGATTTGCCTCCAGAAAGCTTGCCTACGAAAGGACCGGGTCGGAAGTGACGACGGCGACATGTGCGAGTCGGGTCGCATTATCAAGACCACGTTGCTTTGGAACCCGCGCACCGGATTCACGGCGCAAAAGCCAATCGCCAGGTTGCCTATCCTGAACAGACGCCCGTGAACTCCAGCACGGCCCTGGAGGGCTTGGCGCGGAGGTCGGCGGAACTGCGAGGCTGTCGCGCTCGTATTTTTGGACACCCTGCAGCTTTCGCGCCTTGCAGGTACGGGTATGGCAGGCGCAGAGGACGTGCGGTGATGTCAATCTGCTTCCGGGGATTCCGCGAGCGCCAGAACGGACGGATGGTGTGGGATACGACGTGCCTATCGGACTCGGACTTTCGGCTTCGACGACGCCAGCCGCGGTTCCCCTCCGCCTTCTGGCGGTGTACGAACCATGCATCTGCCTCATGATCAGTGCGGCATGTACTATTTTGTATAAGGACCAGCTTTATCTTTACGGCTTTACGCTGATAGTGGTAGATGAGAGTGATGAGTAAAGAGGTCATTGCAGTTTTTGTGATCGACTGCGCACAGTGCCACCGAAGTAAGGCAAGCTTGGTGGTGTCACCGCCTGCGACCCCACGTTCTCGACGCTAAACTACGACGTTATAACCCAGTGGTCGCGCTCAATATACCCTTTTATCAGCACGATACTTTACAACAGACGAGCAACTCGCCGTAGAGCACCAGAAGCAGAAGCAGAAGCACAGCGCCTCAACCGGCCCTAGTTCACATGCCCGGGGTTTCCGTGTTACCAGCACAGTCCGCACTTTCGCCAACGTTCGGTCGATCATTTCATGGTCAGTGGCAGCTCGCTTCCATCGGACAGACTCTCACTCCACGCCCGCCGTGCTCAGCACCAATGCAAAATGGATCTCTGCGATCCCCGACGCACGAGCAGACCGTGGCGGAGATCAAGGAAAAGGCCCTCCACGACACCTACACTGCCGCGCGCGGCGCATCCGCCATCAGCCTCATCAAGACTGCGAGGGCACTGGTGATTCAAGCGCAAGACTCGGAGAACGACGGGGACTTGAAGGCGGCGTTGAGCAAGTACTACCGGGCGGTAGGATTGGTGAAGATGTTCATGGACAACCCGGAGCTTAAGGCGGAGCATGCGAAGGGCGTCCTGACGATGGAGTTCAAGGAATTCCAACAAGTATGTAGCGTCTCTGGTCATTGAAGGACCGTGCTAACAATACCGCAGTATGGCGGGGGCAGGCTGCAAGAGCGGACGAAGGATGTGGAGAACAGGCTCGTCGAAATGGAGAAAGCTGCTGGCCTGTACGTTTTTGATCCGATATAAATCGGTTCGAACTGACCCCGCTATGCAGTCCCAGGAAGGTCAATGGCGGTGTAGATGGTCCTGTGCAGGAATCAGGAGGTAGCATAGCTGACCGCATGCGTTCATTACAGAACGCAGGAATGACGGTTGATACGACCTCGAAGCGCATCTCTCGTGAACTTCCCAAGGCCCCGACGACGCTGCCGTCGATACCAACGTCGCTCCCGTCATCTCCCCGTCCAAACCGGGTGGGACCCCAGCACCTCTCCATCCAAACGACGACCACACCTCAACCGCCATCTACCCACTCTTCCTCACCATTGCCTCCTTCTTTCAATGTCTCTTCGCCCTCACCTGGTCAACCAGCCGGCCTCATGTCCCCTGTCATATCCGCGTCTACGCCGTTCACCACCGCTGGTACCCAGGCCTTCGTTCCAGCGTCAACGCTTGGACCGCCTTCACCAACGTCTTCAACAACCTCATCACCCCGGACGTCACATTTCAATCTCGACACTTTCCAACAACAGTTCCCTTCCATTGACGAGCTTGACGAGCTACAAGGCTTGCACATACCTCCGGCTGCCACGGGTGGTACAGGGAGCACCGGCTCAAGCACCCATAGTAATCCACGAATCGACGATGTCATAGTACCGAACGGGATCACGCCCAAAGCTTTCCCCGTTTTGCCAACGGATACTGGGACACGCATCTCCAGCACCTCCGGTCTATCCAACATCGAGACATATTCCATCAGTCGCCCATCTTCTCCAGCACGCATGTCTCCCACCTCCCGAGCCTCCCCTTCCGTCCCACGCAAACCCTCCGCTCTTTCTCTGAATTCCTCTCCCGTGCCTGGACGGTCACCCCGACTAACGGGCAGTTCAAACTCGCCCCAACTGCAAAAGCCGGAGCTCCCGCAGACCAATACCACGACCCCGAGGCAGTTATATGAGTATATGTATCATCCTGGCATTCAGGTGTTGTTGTTGGATCTGAGGACGCGAGCGGAGTTCGAGCGAGAGCACATCAAGGGCGAACCGGTGGTGTGTTTGGAGCCGATGGTCTTGCGGAGGGATAAGTAAGTCGAAAGCTTCCTACGCAAGGCTTGGTGCTGATATATCGCTGCGTCCAGTCTTACCGGAGACATGATCGAGGATTCCCTGTCCATCGCCCCACAGAACGAACGCATACCGTTCTCGAATCGTGACAAGTTCGATCTCGTAGTCATGTACGATGACGCCTCGGCCGACTTCGGTCCCTTCAATTCGCCGTTCATGTCGCTTGGCCGCGCCATCTACGAAAATGCGTTCAGGAAGATGCTGAAGAAAATCCCGGTGCTGCTCGAGGGCGGCCTGCAGGCGTGGAAGGCGGAGTTTGGCGAAGGCGAGGTGGTCAAAGGAGACGGAACAATGGCCGATGGGGTCGGGTCCGGGTCGATGAAGGCGCCGGGCGCCTTGCACAGCGCGAGCTCAAGTGGGATCGGGATCGTCAACGGGACGAGCTCGATCTCTGCCTACGGAAGGGAAGAAGCTCAGCAGCCTCCATCACATTCGAGGTCCCCGGCGCAGTCCGACCCGCAGAGTGTGATCCTGGGAAGGGGCAGGGCTCAGACCGATGCCACTACGAGGACACCTCCCACGCCGAAGCACCAGTACCGTCCCTCCGTCGATCAGCAGCCCCTGGCTGGTCCCTCTCGGTGCGCGTGCTTGACCTTGTTTCTTCACTTTGCTAACGAGGTTTTCCATAGCACCGCGATGGACGACGCGAATGGCGTGTTGTCCGCTACTCGCGGTTTGTCGCGCCGACCGGCGCTCTCTCGCCCGCCTTCGGGAACCTTCAGTCCAAAACCGATTTCTGCCGAATATGTGCGTAGTATTTTTCGTCCCTTGACCTTGACGTAACCGGTAACATACCTTGACCATCAGTCATCACCATCTATTATACCAACTCTACCACCTGGAAATTCTGGAATTCAATACCCCGCATTTGCCCGACCGATGTCACCCACCATTTCTGGTTCATCTACTTCCTTCGCTTCATCCTCACGCGAACATTTCGGGTTGGTCTCGCCACCTCCGCAAGCCTCTATTAATCCTTCGCCGCTCTCGAGACGGCGGAGCGACTTCGTCGATCAGTCCCAAGAAGCGTTATCCAGCATGCCGCGACAGCAAATAGACTATCCCGACCTGTCTTCGCATCATGTCTTACGACCGCCTCCTGCCGTCGCGGCATCCACTCTCGAAAGGCAGGATGTGCGTCCAGCGAGGGTGATGCAACCACCACCGGTCGCTTCATTGCCCACCGGACCCAGGGCACCGACGATCCAATCTGATTACCCTGTTCATTATTGGGGCGATTCGCAGATTAGCCCTGCAGGCCTGAAGAACATGGGTAACACGTGCTACATGAACTCGACCATCCAATGCCTGAATGCGACAGTCCCCTTCGCCCGTTTTTTCCTCGGTGAGTTTTCGTGCTGTCGATTCAGGACAATATGGACTGATGAACCTTGACAGATGGGTATTGGCAGCATGCAATCAACATGGTGAACCCGCTCGGGACGAAGGGGGCGGTTACAGCCGGTTTCGCGACGTTGCTCAGAGACATCAATCAAGGCGCCGTGTCGTATCTAACCCCAGTCAAGTTCCGCGTGCGCACATCTTGCGGTCACCAGTGTATTTCCGGGTGCTGATATATTTAATAGGCTGATTTCATCCGCCATGCCAACCAGTTCGATGGCTCGGAGCAGCACGATTGCCAAGAATTCCTGAGCACGCTCCTGGACAGCCTCCATGAGGACATGAACCGCATCTTGCAGAAGCCCACTTATCAACCGACGCCGGAACGGGAGCGCGAGCTTGAAAGGCTGCCTCAACAGATCGCGAGCGAGCAAGAATGGCACATTTACCGCATGCGCAACGATAGCCTGATCGTGGACTTCTTCCAAGGTCAATTCCGGAATCGGCTACAGTGCCTGACGTGCCAGAACACATCGACGACGTACAACACGTTCATGTACCTAACCCTGCCTGTGCCCACCGGCCGGCTTAGCAAGGTCACCCTGCAGCAGTGCCTGGACGCGTTCGTGAAGGAAGAGATCATGGAAAAGTCCGATGCATGGTGCGTATTTATTGTTCCGCGCCGGTGTACGGTCATTCAATCGAATGTTGTAGGAATTGCCCACATTGCAAAGCACTCCGTCGAGCAACCAAGCAGCTATCACTATCCCGCTTGCCGCCCATCCTACTCATCCACCTCAAGCGGTTCTCATCCAAGGGAGCCGCGGCTGACAAGATTGAGACGTTTGTCGACTTCCCGACCAAGGGATTAGATTTGACGAACTACATGCCGCCGCCGTTGCCGCCGGGCGTGGACAATGGGATACCAGGTGCCCAGCAGTTATCCTTGGACGATCCCAGACGTCAAATACCCCCTTACAAGTATGACCTTTACGCCGTCACGAACCACTTCGGCAGCCTCAGTAGCGGGCACTGTGCGTATCATCCGCATTCACGCTACTCCAGTCACAGCTCACGTTCTGAGCAGACACCGCGTTCATATCTTCCCGCAACCAATGGCTTTACTGCGACGACAGCCGGGTCGTACAGGCTGATCCCAAAGAAGTGGTCGTAAGTAATCAGCGACCTTGGTCCTGTGTAGCTGCTTATCAGAATGTCAGGGTAAACCGGCGTACGTCCTATTCTACAAGCGCGTCAAAGCTTAAACTCCAATCGGCTTGTCCATTTACCGCTGCAACGGCCGACTCTGTTTTCATCTGTATTTGTCTGC